TCACTGCAGTCAGCCACAGGTTTCCACTTCAGCTCTTCCAGCCACACCAGTCACCGCAATCCACTGTCAAACACACCTCAGGTGAAGGATTAAGATGCCCTGTTTCACACTTTACTGGTGGGGAAATCGAGGTGGTGAATGGAATGCCACATGGTCCAGGCATTCAGGTCCAAAGTCACAGCTGTCTTCTCCAGCCTCTAGAACAAACTGCTAAGAGCAGAGTAGGAAATGCTTTGAGGAACTTGGTTCCTTCAAAATACTCACCTCAGCTGAGGAATCTGTCTGATGATTGCTGTGTCCATGCATAATCCCCAGAATGCCAAAAGGATTAACCAAAGTTTTTAGATGTCAGTTACCTGTTGCTCCGAAATATGCCCACTTTAGTCTGCAGATAGATGTATACGAGTTTGAGGCCTGCTCTAATAAATTTACTCAGGATTCCTATGTTTTCTTGACACTCAGGCTCCATTACTGTAATTATAATGGAAAGAGTTTCAGCTGATTTGTTCTGTGGCAATCTGCTGGCTGAGCTGCACAAGTTGTTGAGAAAAATCCCTCCTGGTCTATTTTCACTCATTAGTCTTCACTGGGTATGGGGGTCTAATGAAAGAGTCAGCTCCCCATAGAAGTGTAGTGCTGTCAGCTTAGTTACAGTCTCCCTGCTAAGCAGAAGGAGGTAGCAAGAAAGTGTCACGTTTCAAAGACTACAAGAAAGAATTGGAATAGTGATAGACTGAACTAATGCATTCTTAATGAGAAGAAGCTCCTCTATTACTTTGATGGGATGCATGGAAAGAAGTACTGCGATGCTCAGGAACAGTAAAACTCAGAAAGCTGTTTTTAGTGCTGTTGCAGAAACAAGGAAGTAACTGTGGCAGAAGTCTTATAAAATTCTTGTAAAATGCAAATACTGTGTTAGCACAGTCCTTTGATTAAGATTTAAATTCAAAGGTGAGGGATGTGACTGCTCTGATCCCTATACAATTAAAAGCTTTTGGGGGTGTATAAATTTTGGGCATACAGCACAAGCCTTGCAATCAATATCTAGTCCACTGACCACTGAATGTTTCCATCATCCAGTAATAAATTTAGGATAATAAAAAAATGCAAAAAGCCACCCTCAGTCCTTTGATTAAGATTTAAATTCAAAGGTGAGGGATGTGACTGCTCTGATCCCTATACAATTAAAAGCTTTTGGGGGTGTATAAATTTTGGGCATACAGCACAAGCCTTGCAATCAATATCTAGTCCACTGACCACTGAATGTTTCCATCATCCAGTAATAAATTTAGGATAATAAAAAAATGCAAAAAGCCACCCTTTTAACACAGGTAACTTTTTTTTACCAATGGCTTGAGTGCCCTCAGTAGCAGATTTCTTAAAGACGGTCCCAGACATTTTGAGAAAGTGGCCTTGGCCACACTCTGCAGTAGAGAAGGAGGAACAATGCAAGTCTGGAGGAGAAGTACATTCTGATTCCACATCTAACAATACTTTTCACATCAGTCAGATGATCAAGACACATGTATGAGGCATACTCAAGGAATGTCAGTGTTTTAGGAACATCAGTGTGTATCATCCAACAGTCTGTCTCCAGCTCTGACCAAATTCCAGTCCTTCATCAGAAAGATGAACAATCAGACAAGAAACCAGTTGTTACTTTGTACTCTGAGTGGAGAAAAAATTCCTCCTCAGCCTCCATGAGTGACCACTGGGATCCCAAAAGCATGTATTTCATGGAGTGTAAACAAAGTGCCAAACAGATGCATTTTCCAACCTCATTGATGTTGCAGCTCAGTATACATACAAACATATACATCTACGTTCAAAAACTCAATAAAGAATCTTAACTTTCTATATCTAAGGACTCTTTGCTCGTGCTTATGATCTGTTTGATCAGCATTTAAAGCTGTGTCTTAAAAATATGGCTGCCTCTTTACAGGAATTTGGAAGATCTCTTCTGAACTTTTTCGATTGTTGGAAATCTTCTAAATGTGAGACTATGTTTACTCATGACCCAGTTTTCAGACCTGTGATCATGTGCTGACATTACCATTTTCATCGTTCTCCATTATTTGCATTCTGTATGAGAAAGAATTGTCATGTTCCTCAGCCACTCTGTTGCTAAGCAAAACAAGTGAAACTTAAAATTTATCTTTGTATGATAAATACTCATTACTCTAAACATCCAAGCAGGTTTTCCCTGCATCAGTTCTGATTTAAGCTCATCTTTTTTGAACACAGATGACTAATTGTTCACATAGAATTCCAGAGGAGGTTCTCTCCAATGGTACTAACACTTCTGTGGCTCTACTAAAAATATTTTGCCACATCCATTGTCGAACTGCATAAGCTCTTTTCACAAAGCCACCTTCCTGGCTATTATACTTGCATTTTCCAGTCTTCAGCACTTCCAATTAATCAGTTCCGTGTTTACACCCAGAATTATGCATTGTTTTAAAGGGGCAGCAGGGAGCACTGCGAAATTTCATCCAATTCATATTATCTGTGGCTACAAAATCATCTTACTCTTCTCAAGTGATGAGTGAGTCCTTGTTGACCATGTTAAAACCTCCTGACTTTGTGTTGCCCATGAATTTTATGAGTGCACACCTAATTCTTGCTCTTAGAACACTAATTAACATACTGATCCCTCCTAAAACTGATCCCTGAGAAACACAACTAGCAACTTTCCTCCTCTCAAATAACACCACCTGTAGTGTACCCTATTATTGCCTCTGTTTATCCACGTTCTTATCCAACCGAAGAGTTTCAATATGCATAATTTCCACTCAAAGTATCAATTTCCTATGAGGACCCACAATAAGCATTTTATATGATATCTAAATATACTAGATCTGACACATTATCCTGGTCTAAGAAACAGAGTAATGATTTTAAGCACATATAATCCCACCGTAATTTGTCCCATTGTTTATTTTCATGTGTGTTTTTAATCACTTGTTTCAAATCTGGTTTAAATGTTCATGGTACTGAAGTCAAACTAACAGCCATGAAATCACAGACTTTCCCCCCTCTTCCTGGACATATGTGCCCAATCCATCATTGTATACTTCTATCATCTACTACTATCTCCAAGTCATGTATATTTGTCATAGAATCATAGAATCATAGAATGTTAAGGGGTTGGAATGGACCTTACAGATCATTCAGTCCCAACCCCCCCTCTGCCATGGGCAAGGACACCTCCCACCAGACCAGGATGCTCAAGGCTTCATCCAGCCTGGCTTTGAACACTGCCAGGATTGGAGCAGCCACATCCTCCCTGGGCAACCTGTGCCAGTGTCTCACCACACTCATACTAAAACCTTTCCTCCACTCTTAATGTAAATCCATCCTTTCCTGCATACAAGCCTAAGTTCCTCAAGCCAATCATTTTCTTTCACTGATTTTTCTGTTTTCTAAAAGTTTGCCTTGTAGCAAGCCTTAGTATAGATTATTTTTTTTGTCCATTTTGCAGTGCAAGAAGCACGGAATTCATTCATAATCACTTCCTCCTCAGGAACATCAGTTTTTGCTCAGTTGTTTTACAAGGTTCTCCTTACACACACAGAAAAAAAAAACCCAACCCTAAGCTTAAAATAAACAACACTTTGTTGTTTTATGAATTTCTGTACCAAAAAGTCAGTCATCTGAAATGTCTCAGAATATCTAAACCTTGCTATTATTGATGGTATTTTTGTCTCTGTCTGGAAAATTTAAGTCTACGATGCTCTTACAATTTCCCTCATTATTTATTTCTTTCTCTATTTATAGAGATGATTACACCCTTCCAAATCTCAGCCTGTCAGACCATATTATCCCCTTCTCCCCAAATACTGTCCAAGCTGGGTCTCTTTTACCATCTTCCTTGCAGTGATTTTCATCCAACAGATTATGTTTTATTCATACCATCGCATTTTAAGATGAATAAACACAATTTGGCTGTTTTACTTTGCTACGGCTTCAAATTTCCTGACTTTTATGTATTTTAGGTTACATCCACATAGGCCTGTATATAAAATTTCCTTGTTTTCTTGTTAGATTCAAAAAACCCCAAGGAAAACCAGCAAGAGCTTCCCCACCCTTTCACAAAGTGATTATAAATGTACCTATTCATGTTAGATTAACTTAACAGCATGTGGTTTGGTCTTCATTTAGCAATATACACTAGTTGTGAATAGTTGTTTTCTCTACCAATAATGCTTTCTCCTAGTCACTACTCATCCACTTGGATAAAGTATAGGTGATACTGAAATAGTGAAAAGATTCTAATCAATGTACATCATTCATAATGTACAGAAACTGTGTAGGGTTCAAGAAAATGAAAAAGACCAGAAATTTGAACAGTAGGAAACACCCAGGAGTGTAGAGATTTACCTCCCATCCACACTGGTAGCATGTAAATATGCTGTCAGATGCAGCTTTAACCCAAATTCTAGAGTTCCGAAAGGGAAAATTGCCCCAAAATCTTCAGCCACCATCTCTCATAACCATCAACCTTAGAGTCTGCCCACAGATGACAGGAATTGAATGAATTACAGCATAGTCCCCCAGCAAATGTGCCAAGCTCAACTCTTCTTACACATCACTACAGCCTAACTTACACTTCAACAGAAAGTTTGCAGGTTGCTGTTCTCAGTGGTAATAAGTTCTTACCATGCACTTGGATATAAGCATTGCCATTAAAATGCCTAGACAGTCTCTGAAGTGTTAAAATGAAGTCCTTCTCTGACTAATTTTAGAAATTATAACCAAAAGCCTGCATATCAACTCATTTTATTTCCTATCTGAAGAAGATAGGGAACTTAACCTTAGATGTAAGAAAAAATTTATAGCTAGGCCAGTACTGTAATACATTTCTTCCAGTCAGCGTTGCTGTGATTTAGATGAGAAGCAGCAAGAAAGATTTGAGCCGTCACACTTGACTCTGAGCTGCCAAAAAGAGGTATCAGAGGTTACAGTTTAAGGTTTAATTTATATTCCTCCTTTTGTTACAGGCAGAGATGGTACGTGCTGCTTTCCAAGCACAGAGATCATTCCTGGTGTTAGCATCTCAGTGTCAAGAGCCTCAAGAGGTAAGAAGAGTGACCTAGAGTTTCAAACGGCAGTGTATTAAAAAGGCTGTGTTCCCATATGTTATCAATCCCTGTATTTGCTTTTACTTGTTACTTTATTTATACAGTGCACTTGGAGGATTGTTTCACTTTCATAAGCATGGTGCTGTCATAATCAGAAAGCCATGGTTCAGAGTTAAGAACCTTTTCTGTACCAATACATATAAGATCATTGAAGAAAGGAAAGGAGGTTTCTACTTTACAGCTGTAAGTGGGATCAGTGTTTCTCTGGAAGCTGCAAACACCAAGGAAAAGAATGACTTTTTGCTAGCCCCCCAGGAATGCTACATGACAGATATTGAAGTCAGGGTATAAACTAATGAGAGAAAAATCAATACTGGCCTGTAGACTCAGTATTCTCCAAGCTGAGGTCCAGGTTAGGCCAATTCTGGAAGGAAGGAAAAGCATTTTGTCAAGTAAATGACAAAAACAACTTTTATCAAGTTGATTTATATTCTTCTTTTATTGGCAACTATTTAAATCCTCCCCTCACAACTAGAAAGCTCAGGGAAGCTGTGGAGTTGTTATGAAATCTTGCTTGTAGTTTCTAGAGGGCACAAGGCCAATAGTGCTGTATCATTCCTGGAAAGAGCAATCATGTAGTCCTTCTGTGGGACCACCCTTGAACCTTCCTTCTTGCAGTATGCAGAGAATGAAGTCTTCACTTACACAGTCTCTCCACAATCTTTAGTCCTGTCTTTTTCCACTAGTCTCCCACTCCACAGTTCTTTAAACCCCATATTTTCAAACCAGAACTCTCTGCAAATGGCATAAATTATTGAATTTTTGCTGTCGCTATTGTTTGTAGAGGCAAAACTTAAAAGTTTTTCTAATCAGTATATTTTAATGGCAAGAGTACTTAAAGAAAAGATAAAAACCCATGGATGTTCCAGGAGAGACTTTAGAGGTAGAGTTCCAGGCAAGAAGGGATCTGTTGTTTTTCCAGCTGTCCCTGCTCTGAGAGAGTAAAAGTGGGTCATGCCTCACAGAGAACAGGCAAAATTCCCATTGGTACAGGCCTCAAGCAGTCTTTGAATTGGCTGTGAATACCATCACACACAGTGGCCCACAAAACTCCTCATGCTCATAGGTAAAATTCTCCCCAGTGAACAGTTTCCCATGGCCCATAATGTAATGTGATGTTCTGAAGTGCTGGGATTGTTCCAGCTCTGGCATGAGTGAAAGCTATGGCTCATGGTTTGGCTTCCAGTGCGGATGTGCTGTAGGTATTATTTTCTCCATTTTTCAAATGAGAATGGCAATGTCTTCTCCCCATGTTTACCCTTACAACTTTCTGACCTCAAGCCAAGGCTTTGAATGTTTTTCAACTGTAAAGGTTACAAATTTTCATTTAAAAATGATAATAAAATGAGCTAAAAAGAAAAAAAAAAGAAAACAATAGATGTAAAAAGAAATTCTCAGTAATCTAGAATGACAGTTACAGAAGCACTAAGAAAAGCAAGAAATAACAAAAACCTTGTCATAAACATCACCAGAGCTGCCCACATGTATCCATATGTCTTAGGTGCAGGTAATCAGACATGCATAGATTCCTACAACATGTTGAAGGCCAGAAAATATACTTTTATCATTGAACTGTCATTTACCACCGAGGAAATGCCACGACATGCGTGCTCACACCATTCTAAAGTTAAAATGCCAGGAATATTACAGACTATAGTTCCTTTCTCAGCAAGAACAAACCCAGTCCAGTCACTTAAATTTTTTTAAAGACTGTTAGGTACATATTTCATGTAGACATCCAAACACACATTGTTGTTCATTCTTTTTCTCTTTTTTGCACCTATTTTTTTCACAGATACATTCAGTTATGCTATAGACAGACCAGAAAATAATTGAGGGTTCTATACAAATTGTACAGGTTTTATCCCACTGCAGAGAGTGATGGCACTAGGCTTTTTATATCTCCATCTCAATCAGGGAAAAATCCTGTTGTAAAGCCACATTAGTTAACCATTTTGCAAAGACTGGTTATCACCAGCTAACCCAGGAGAAGGAAACAAGTAGGGATCCTCCCCGCTGCTCCCCAGGACATTGTTGCTGTGATGTCATCTGGGCTCTCGTTGTATTTATAGCCTAGAGCCACGGAGTCAGTGTGGAATCCAAACAGGAAAGCTGATCATTAGTGTATCAGAATGCACAGAGTAGAGAAAAGCAAATGAAGATGACAGCATATCTATAAATGCAAGAGAAAAGAGAGTAATTCTGTCATTCAGCTGTCTAGACTGTTTGCTTTATAATGTAAAGCTGTGAATGAGCCAGTGAGTTGCGATTATGGCATAGTAGCTTTGTAGACATTCAGAGACAGCGGTGTGGAGACTGAGGGGATTTACTGAGTTCCTGTCATGTTGGGATGTCATACATGGTGCCTTTAAAAAAAAAGAGGGAGGGGAAAACGCACTGGAAAAATAAATTAGCTCAGCTCTTGCAGTTTACAAACTAATGAATAAGGAATTCAAACAAAAAGAAAGCTCCTATATGTATAATAATCCTTGGAATTGTATTGTGCTCAGCAGAGAGAAATGTATATTATACAAAAAGAGGTATTTTTTCCTCTCTATGAAAATGTTGAAGCCCTAGAATTCATTTAGCTCTTTAACTCCTGCTATGAGTCACTAGCAAACATTTTCAAACAGTTAAGCTTGCTCAAAATTGCTTTCATGGAGTTTTGCTTCTTGTTAATAATGTTGATATTTTTTCATTTGGAATCTTTCTCAGTGCACAGCCTTTATTATCTGTATATGTGAAAATAGTAGGAGCCAGGAAGGTAATTCCAGCTGGCATACCAATCTAGCATCAACTGCAATAAATTACTTTGCAGAGAGCATGTTCTGTTACTTTTTATGGTCATGTTCTATATTTGTATGTGCAGTGGAAGAGATCACATGACAAACCCACCAGTTGATATTCCTATTTGTGTATGTCCCAGCTAATGTCTGCTGGATATGGGCTCATTCAGCAATATGGGATTTTTCAGTTCATCCACTCATTAGAAATTATTATCTGATGCCAAACTTCAAACATTAAAACAAAAAAAAGTCCATTATACATTATTTACCATTATAAATAATGTAAGAGAGTATAGAGAGTACAGAGAAGATGGAGAGGGGAAAATAAATTAGAATATTGCTATAATCTGTGAGAAGTTGCTTTAAAAGGTATTTTGAGACACTATGTTTACATGTTGCTTGGGCAATTGAGAAGACAGGTTTTAACATAGACTTTCACAAAACATTATGAAATAGTTTGGATCTGAATTTTCCATTCCCCATAGTCTGAGTCAAACACAATTCTGACTGAAACATTTTTCATTTCATTGCATAATAAGATTAAAAGTTATGAGTGTTGCTGAGCAGGTTTATCTGTTCAACAGTTTCTTTTCAATTAATGATCATGAATACTAACATTTGAGACTGCCACTCACAGTCACTGCACTGTGAATGGTAACTCATATACTATCTTCTCTTTATGAGTTGTTTAATTTCCCTTTAAAAGTTCAGACAGGAGTTGCTTTGAGGGCATGAGGGATCCATTGTTCTTATACTGGGAACTAGTTAATGAGAAAAATGTTTTTGTGAATCAATATAAGCATATGCAGCATGAGCATACTCGTGGTAAGAAGTACTGCAAACAGATTTAAATGGCAGATGCAGTTCAGACTATAAATGATTACGTAATTTCTCATTTTAAAAAAATGCTGAGTTCATATGACTGCCAAAGCCATGGATTTAATTGCTGACATTGTGCAGACAAACATTCCAATTAAATACCTAGATTAAATATACAGATTCTGCACACAGGTGGGAGGAGAGGGGTGGAAAAAAGTGAGAGGTAAAGGAGAGCTGTCCCTTTTTTCCCTAGAAAACGGGCATGCCACGCCACTATTTGAAGAGAGCCATGAGAACAAATCCTGAGGTTTTTGGATTTTTTTAATAGACAAGCAAAAAAGAAATCTATTGTAGGAATAGAATTGTTGTGGCAATTTCTTTGAACAAAGGACTCATTCTCAGAATTTTCATGTATAAATCAAAGATGAAGATTTACAGTTCCCTGCTCAGTATAGGATTGCTCATTTTCTTCTCCCTTCTATTTTTAAAGTACTTCAATTACAGGACTCCTGGGACTTTTCATTCTGCATCCTAGCAGGATTTGTTTTCTAATTACCTTAACTTGCTTATGTCATTACATTTCCCCCTACTTTTCCTCATGCATACTGGGATCACTCTTACTGTTTTCCAAAAATATGAACAGTAGGATGCTCCTCATCTTGTTAATTTATTACTTTCTTATGCAAAAGAGCTTGAGCCGAGTTTTGCTGCCATTCTGTCAGTTGGTTGACTGTTGCAGACCTGCTCCTCCATATCTAGAAATAGCTTAAGGAAGAATTTGGTTCAGTCCTTTTAAGGTCCTCAGGTCCTAAACTCTCGGAAGGTGCCAAGAGTGACAGGGACAGAGCCTGAGAGTCCTGAGCTCAAAAGGGAACCCCTTCCCCCCCTTCTGTTCTCTTGCCAAACTGCTGACATATTTCTGTTATCAGCAGGCCTACAGCTGCATGCAACATGTGGTCACAGCCGCAGTGATGGACCAACAGGCAATTTTCAGTCACTAGCCTGCTGCCTTACAGTATTCACAGGCTCATTCTGGATATTGTTACAAACTCTTGCTCAGTTTGAGGTCCAGATAGCCCCTGACACCTGTTATCTCATAATTTTGTCTCAAAATCACTCATTTGCATTTAATCAGCCTCAAGATGTTTTCAGATCATAGAATCATGTAGTTTGGAAAAGATCTTTAAGGTCATCACGTCCAATCATAAACCTAACATTGCCAACTCTGCCACTAAACCATGTACCTAAGTGCCACATATACATGTTTTTTAAGTACCTCCAGGGATGGTGACTCAACCACTTACCTGGGCAGCCTGTTCCAGTGCTTGACAC